TAGTGTGTAGTTCTTATCAAGTGTTACACAATGTTGTTATTACGTTCGCTTGCAGAATTTCGGTTATATGTGTATGTTTGTTTGTTTCTATGCGTGGGTTTCCTTCTGGTGCTCCGGTTTCCCCCAAAAGTCCAAAACATGTGGTATAGGTGAATTGAGTAAGCTAAAGTGTCCATAGTGTGTTTATGTGTGTGTGTGCGCGCGTGTGCACATGTGCATGAATGAGTCTGTATGTATGTTTCCCAGTGAGGGGTTGCAGCTGGAAGGGCATCTGCTGCATAAAAAAAAATGCTGGATAAGTTGGCGGTTCATTCCGCTGTGGCGACCCTTGAATTAATAAAGGGATTAAGCCAAATAGAAAATGTATGAATGAATATATCCGCTGAGTGCTGTCATGTCTCTCTAGACATGTGCAAACTTCATATCATATCATATATCATATCAGTTACTGCATTACTACATATTTAGTTACTGTATGTCTTTGGACTGTGGGGGAAACCGGAGTATCCTAAGGAACCCACACCAACACGGGGAGAACATGCAAACTTCACACAGAAATACTACCTGACCCAGACAGAATTCGAGCTTCTTGTTGTAATATATATATTAGTCTTGGCTTGATCAGTTGGTATTTGGTGTGTATGGGTGTTTCCCAGTACCGGGTTGCAGCAGGAGAGGCATCCACTGCTTGAAACATATGCTGGATAAGTTGGCGGATCATTTCGCTGTGGCGACCCCTGATGAATAAGGCACAAAGCCGAAGGAAATGGATAATTATTACATTATTATGAAATAAAATATAGCATTAAACATGTATATTTTTACAATATTACAATTTTGATTTATTTCTGTAATTTTAACTTTTCAATGTATTATATACGTATTATATACAATTTCAATGTATTATATACCTCTTTTTAATGCTTTAATTCATCCTTTCCCTTAGAAAAGAAATGAAAAGAAACAACAAATATTAACCATTTTATTGTGTTTGAAGATATTTTATTTTAAGCCAAATTAGGGTAAAATATGGGCAGCAAGTTATATTATTACTATTAATATTAATATAACTTACTATTAATTATACTATTATATACTATACTATTATACTATATACTACTATACTATATACTATAATATAATATACTATACTATTAATTACTATTAATATACTATAATATTATTATTATTAATTTGTTGTAAAAACCCAGTATTTGTTTATTAGAATGTTTCCAGATTTCTTTTTAAGTAACTGCTGACTATCCCTTTAAGCAGCTCGCTTAAACTCTGCACGCTTGAATGTAAATTCATTATTCATCGTATGCAAATTATTATTCATCCACTCTTTTCCAAATAGAGAGCAATGTTTGACCACCTGCTGCTGCACACTCATTTCACCTGGTGGGAAAAGGCTGTGTATGACATTATGCTTTATGACAGTGAGAAAGGGAAGTAAATGCAGTCGCCTGCTGTGCTGTTTTTCCTGATCTGCAGATATTATCGAGGAGCGGTCGGAGCTCTGCTGGTTTATGATATTTCCAAGCATCTGACGTATGAAAGTGCCGAGCGCTGGCTAAAGGAGCTCTACGATCACGCCGATCCACACATCGTAGTGATGCTGGTGGGAAATAAATCCGACCTGGCAGCCGTGCGCTCCGTTCCTACAGAGGACGCCAAAGACTTTGCAGGTCATACACTTATAATTGACGAATTTCTTATTATGATTATGTGTTTACATTTAAATGGATGGATGGATAGATGGATAGATAGATAGATAGATAGATAGATAGATAGATAGATAGATAGATAGATAGATAGATAGATAGATAGATAGATAGATAGATAGATAGATAGATAGATAGATAGATAGATAGATAGATAGATAGATAGATGGATGGATGGATGGATGGATGGATGGATGGATGGATGGATGGAGAGATAGATGAATAGGTAGGTAGGCGGATGGATGGATGTATAGATAGATAGATAGATGGATGGATGGAGAGATAGATGCATAGGTAGGTAGGCGGATGGATGGATAGATAGATAGATAGATAGATAGATAGATAGATAGATAGATAGATAGATAGATAGATAGATAGATAGATAGATAGATAGATAGATAGATAGATAGATAGATAGATAGATAGATAGATGGATGGATGGAGAGATAGATGAATAGGTAGGTAGGCGGATGGATGGATGGAGAGATAGATGAATAGGTAGGTAGGCAGATGGATAGATGGATGTATAGATAGATAGATAGCTGGATGGATGGAGAGATAGATGCACAGGTAGATAGATAGATAGATAGATGGATGGATGGATGGATGGATGGATGGAGAGATAGATGGATGGATGGATGGATGGATGGATGGATGGATGGATGGATGGATGGATGGATGGATGGATGGATGGATGGATGGATAGATAGATGGATGGATGGATGGATGGATGGATGGAGAGATAGATGCATAGGTAGGTAGGCAGATAGATAGATAGATAGATAGATAGATAGATAGATAGATAGATAGATAGATAGATAGATAGATAGATAGATGGATGGAGAGATAGATGAATAGGTAGGTAGGCGGATGGATGGATGGATGGAGAGATGGATGGATAGATAGATAGATAGATAGATAGATAGATAGATAGATAGATAGATAGATAGATAGATAGATAGATAGATAGATGGATGGATGGATGGATGGATGGATGGATGGATGGATGGATGGGTGGATGGATGGATGGGTGGGTGGATGGATTTGATTGATTGATTAATTGATTGAGGAGTTTGTTTTTTATCATGGGGATGCAATGCACAAAACTGAATTATTCAAACAATCTCAGATCAATCTTTTATCACATAAACTGATACATTTTATAAACATAAAATCCTCATTCTTTGCTCTTTATAGAGAAGAATGGTCTTCTGTTCATGGAAACCTCAGCTCTGGAGTCAGTAAATGTTGAAGCAGCTTTCAACACTGTGCTTACAGGTAAACCTGATGTTTATTCTCAACACATCACACAGTATTTACACTTACATCACACGTCATCCTCGTCCTCTGGGTTTCTCCTCTTCACTCAGGCTTGAAATAGTGAACACAAACACTTCATTTTCATGATTACATTCTCAATAATTCATCCCTTCCTCACAGAAATCCACAAGAAGGTGAACAGCAAAGAAGTGACCCGCGGCTCCATCAGTGCAGTCACGTTGTCTCAACCTAAAACTCCAGCAGAAACCCAGGAGGAGAAGAAAACCTGCTGTAAAAACTTGTGAAAGAGTCATTCAGATACAGTTGAAGTCCGAATTATTAGCCCTCCTGAATTATTAGCCCCCTATATATTTATTTCCCCTATTTCTGTTAAACAGAAAGATTTCTTTAACACATTTCTTAACATAATAGTTTTAATAACTCATTTCTAATAACTTTTTTTTTATCTTTGCCATGATGACAGTACATAAAATTCTACAAGATATTTTTCAAGATATGAGTATTCAGCTTAAAGTGACATTTAAAGAGCCCATATTATACATGAAATAGGGTCATATCTTGGTTGTAAGGGTCTCCAACAACAGTCTAATATGCATGCAAGGTCAAAAAACACTTTCATGGGCTTATAATCTGCATTTATTTTTACCTAATTATCCCAGCGACTCTCGTATGAATCGTCCAGTGATTCATTTGTTCCCAAACCCCTCCTTAGCGCGAAGCTAATCTGCGCTGATTGGACCTATGACAGTCGATTGGTCGACTCCCCTTCAGTGAGAGAGTGAAATGCCCAACAGCTATTCAGCAATATAAAAGTAATCACAGTTCATACCCGCTCGATAGTGTAGGCGTGGATTTTAAGCTGCCAGTGGGTCAATGTAAA